GATTGCAATCCCCTCCATGTAACAACAGTTATCCCACTTCCTCCCTGTGGTTCTTATTTCCACCCCACCCTCCTTCGCATGCATCCCTTCTCAACTTTGTCCTTAGATAAATGTTGCCCTCTGATCTTGAATGACTGATCATTCCATGGTGAACATACCTACTAGTGCTGTTGTTCCCCTCTATAACTCTCTACTGCTTGGCTGAAAGTTGGGCCAGAAGGGTGAATTCCATTCTAGACCTGAGGAATGGTCGAGAGTCTTAGTCCTGAGTTCCTCCACTCTCTTTCTGACCAGTAAGCCTGGTCTTGTCTTTGATAATTTTGAGTTTTGTTCCACATTTTCTCTCACTCTACTCGGGGCCTTCTAATGTGATCCCCCTTCAGAGCAGTTGGTAGTGGTAGCTGGGCACCATCTAGTTCTTCTGGTCTCAGAGTCATGGAGACTAACCTTCATGTGTTCTATTAGTCCATTACATTCATTGATTCCAAGCATCTTCAATTCTCATCACTCTTCTTTCTTCCACACATGGAGAGACCAATAGTTGCACCTTAAATGGCCACTTATGAACTTTTAAGATCCTAGACACTACTCACCAAAGTAGGATGTAAAATGTTGTCTCTGGTGGACTATGTTATGCCAATTAACCATGGTGGCCCCTGGGACTTCCTGAGCCCCAAGGCTCAGCTACTCATTGCCTTAAGATATTTGATAATACCTAAAAAGTTTTCATCATTTTGCCCTCTGTGTGCTTTACCTCATTCGTGGGTACGTTTGCAGCAAAAGTAAATACCCACATACAAATATCCTCTTTCAAACCCTTCTATAGTAATGGGTATACTCCCACTCTTCCTCCCATACTCGTTTAGCCTGTGAGTGTCTGTCCATTTATCTACCTGTAGAACACTGTTGTTTCCGGGTTATACATATAAGAGTATTTCCCTCTATCTCCTTTAACCTTTGGCTATCTTCCTGTATCTTCATCATTCTCCTATAGAGGTTCTACTCTAGAACACTTGGGATCACCGTGAGTTGGAAATTACTTTCTAGCACCTGGTTACTAGCTAATCCTGTGCTAGTATCTTTGTATGCTATATCTCATTTAATCTCCTCAAAAGTTCTACAAATAAACAAATCTCAGCCCCAAGATGCTTTCTCATTTACCCAAGGTCACCTAGCTAATATGTGATAGAAATGGAATTGAACTTTGGTCTCTCTGCCTCCAACACATGATTCTCTTTATAAAAGGTTGCAAACTAGAAGTCCATGGGTCAAATCTAGCCCACAGTGATTTGTTTGGCTACCATACAGGATCTTTCACTTGCTTACTTTAATTTTTGAATGGTCAGCATTGAGAAACCTGAAGATGTCAAATAAAATCTAGAGATCCAAGTCCTCTTGACAATTTGCTAGACCTGAAACATAGCTCTGAATTCCGGTCCATCAGCAGTTGACAGAAACTGAGCTGCTGAGCACCGGTTAGGCAGGGGTGGTCTGTCCACACTTTCAGTCTGAATCCTTTCCTGCTCCATCATTACCAGCCCCCATCAAGCATTTACCTGTCTGTCCTTTAAAGGTATGTGAGTTTGTAAGCCCTGCTCAACACTGTATTTTCTCACGTTATCAATTCACCCCAAGTTGACCAAACACATGAGTCATATTCCCAGTCTTAGTAAGCACCTGCCCTGACTGTGGTTGATTCCCAAATGGTCACAGGTGGTTGATAAAACTCAAAGTTAAAATCTGTGGCAAGAAAGAGAGCAAAACTAAAGAGACTCAGTTGCTAAATGCTCTTTCTAGCCAATCAAACATGCCTGGACACGCTGAACTTCTTAGCATCATGCATAGAATTTCTGGGCCTGATTTGTTCAGCTCATCAGGATAATCCCTGATGTTGCATCTTTGTTCCTGTTGTAGTTATGTGCTGTTGGTTTCAACTCATAGTGAAACTGTATAGAATGTCTGAGAGCAGCTCATGGGTTTGAACCACCGACCTTGCAGTTAGCAGTCCAGTGCTTATCCTACAGTGCCACACCAGGGCTCATCTTTGTTCACAGCTTCACATGAAATTCCAGGTATGAAGAAGGGAAACAGTCTTTGAGGGACTTCATTGACTGTGAATGTCAGCAAGGAAGAACCTAGCCTGCTTTCTTGCACATTGTTGTTAAATGCTGCCTAGTCGGTTCTGACTAGTAGCAAGCCTGTACAGGGTTTCTAAGAAATGGCTGGTGGGTTTGAACCACCAACCTCATGGTTAGCAGTCCAGTGCCTATCCTACACCATCACACCAGGACTTCTCTTGCACAGAACCTGTTTTTCCCATTCATTGAAGTTCATAATGCTAATTGTCAATTCCGTAATCCTATCAGAAAGTGACATAGACATATTAGCTAACAATCTAGGAAGGGTAAAAAGTCCACCAGTACAATGAAATTTAGGGTTTAGTATTCCTTGAAGAGCTGCTGTCTGAACTCCTGTATTTATGAACATGATTCTATAAGTACTTCACATCACCTGACTGAATGGACATAATATTTTAAACCATGGCCCAAAGCAGCCACTCTCCGGAAACCTATGTGAATTAGAACTGACTCGACAGCTCTAAGCCTAACAGAAATTCCAAAATCGTATAACAAATATCATTTTCCTCTGCAGGCTATTTTCGAAGTTGCTTTCAATGGTCCCAAAGGCGGGTATGTTGCCCTGGATGATATTTCTTTTTCTCCTGTTCACTGCCAAAATCAGACAGGTAGGTATTTTCTTTTCTCTTTTTCTTCACATTTGGAATTTTCCTTTCTTAGCAGATGCCTGTGGTTAAGATTTGCTTTAATTCCTCTGATTCTTTTACTTTACCCTTATCTCATACTTCAGATATGATTGGACTGAATAGTCACTTTTTAGGAATACTATTTGTTTTTAATCACAGAATGAACTTAGCACTGGACCGCTAAGCACAAAGTCAAAGGTTCAAACCCACCAGATGCTCCTTAGAAACGCTATACAAGCTCTGAGTTGGAACCAACTCAACAGCACTTAACAACAACTGGCTCTGTAGGATAATCATTGGACTGCTAGCCACAAGGTTGGCAGTTCAAGCCCACCAGCCCCTCCTAAGAAGAAAGTTGAGGCTTTCTGCTCCTACAAAGACTGACATCCTCATAAATCCTATACAGGGTCTCTGTGTGTCAGACCCGGCTTTCTGGCACTTAGCAACAACTGTAGGCCAGTTGTCCTATGTAATGAAGATTTCATCTTCCCAACCTGCTTCTTGTTGATGTTGTTAAGTGCCATCAAGTTTCAACTCATAACGACCATGGTTTTAAATCTGCTGGAGCAGAAAGCCTCATCTTTCTCCTACAGAGCAGCTGGTGGGCTTAAACTGCTGACCCAGTGGTTTGCAATCCAGTGCTTATCCTATGAAACCATGTGCTAGAAAAGGAATAATTAAACAATGCCAATTCTTTCCTATCCCATCTTTCTCTTTAAAGGAACTCTGAGTGCATATATAAGGGATGGGTGGGGAAAAAAAAAAAAAAAACTCAAAATCTACCCAATAGAATGATAAAAAATGACTTCTATTTTTTTTGTTTCCAAGTCTTACAAATCTCATTTTTAAGGGTTTTGGTATTTGGTACTAAGCTATCTCTGATGATTTGGGGTAAATATTATACACGTTTACTGGTGTTGGAGTCTTGGTGTGGTGCTGTGAGTTAATGCACTGGACTGCAAAGTCAGTTTGAACCACAAGGTCAGTAGTTCAGGCTCACCAGCTGCTCCTCGGAAACCCTGTACAGGGTTGCTATGGGTCGACACTACAACAACAATATAACTATTTTAAATTTCCAAGAGAAAACACCAAGTTCTATTCATTTAGTATGGTCAGTATCACAATTGCCATGAAATTGCTATTTGGAAAAGAGAGAAGAAATATTTCTTTCTGGGAAAATAAGTAACCAAATTAAACCAAAGTAAATTAGAAAACAAATGTCTCAAAATAAGAAGGAAGACAATATATTAATGATAACCCAGATATACATAATTGGCCTTACTCTTACTGAATTTGTTCCTTTGGGAAACCCTGGAGACACACCATGGTCATCCCATCCATTACTGTGCCCTTCGTCAGGGTTTTGGAATATGGGAAATAAATGATTGAACTTGGCCTTTGTGGTTTTGCTTTCATTTAGGAGATACTTGGTCTCTAACTTAATATGATTTCAGATATTTTCTACAAGCAAGGGAACTGAGAAAGGTGTTTTTTAATTGAGCTAAACTGCTACTCCCAAATTAGAGAGAAATTAACTAATTTGCTGAAGGTAAATATTATTTTCTCACTAGTTCTAGTAAAATGCAAAACAGTGTAACAGACAGAACCAGAGTGAATTTGCATATTTTTAAATGGTTTAATACAAACAGAACTAAAGACAGTTGTTGTTGTTAAGTGCCATCGAGTCAATTGTAACCCAATTCTAACCCATAGTGACCCTGTATAGGGTTTCCAAGGAGCAGCTGGTGAGCTTGAACTGCCAACCTTGCAGTTCTAACGGCTTTGCAGTCTGGCACATTAACCCACAGTGCCAAACCAAGATTCCGTATAAATTTGACAAAACACATATCAAAATTGTTTTACTTCTTTAAATTTCATTGCCCCCTAAGCCCATACATTAATATTTCAGCTATGTTAATAGTAATTTCTGGAGTACTGGTGTGGCACTGTGCTGGGTTAATATGCTGGACTGCAAGGTTGATTTAACTTCAAGGCTGGTAGTTCAAGCTCACTAGCCACTCCTAGAAAACACTGTGCAAGGTTACTATGAGTCGGAACTGACTTGACGGCAAATATTAACAAAAACAAACAATAGTAATTTCACAACCTCTTTATCATTATTTTTTAGAACAGTTCTCTTCTCTATCACTGGGCAGTTACTTTGAACTTTTCTATTTCCAAATTATGTATATATGAGGAAAGAGGCATTTATTCAGTAGCTTTTTATACTGTGTAGGCTGAAGAGGCAGCTAGAAGGTAACAGAATCGACAGAGCCATTATAGAAAAAATTTTTAGAAACTCCCTTCTTTTTCAAAAGATACAGCATAAATCTGAGTTCTTCCTTCCAGCACTGGTGGTGTGACTCATGAAAAGAAAGTTTCCAGCAAAGGACCATATGTTAGGAGGGCTGAAAAATCCAGCCCACATAACAACCTAGCCTCCTCTGTGGGGCTTTCCAGAGATACCCATTTTTATAAAGTTAATTGAAGATCCAAATTGGTCTTTAGAATTTCCCACGCTACCAAATGGCTTTAAAAACTATTCTTCCCAAGTTTAATTATGGGATCATAGTATCATACTCGAGAGCCAGAGTTCTTGAGACATTCCTAGTCTCCTTCCTTTCTCCTTGGGCATGTCATTTAACTTCTCTGTGATTCCATTTCCACACTAAGAGGATGAAGATTGTTGTTGCTGTTGTTAAATGCCTTCAAGTTTGGTTCCAACTCATAGCAACCTTGTATAAGATTTCTGAGGCTGTATATCTTAGAGAATGCAGAAAACCTTATGTTTCTCCCATGGTGTGACTGGTGTGCTCGAACCACTGACCTTGTGGTTGGCAGTCCAATGCTTGTCCTGCAGAGGCACCGTGCTACCAAGGATGAGGATAGGATGGAAGAATTTGGTTCATAGAGTTGTTGGGAAGATCAATGAGCTAATGTTTATGAAGCTCACCTACCTACTCTGGAGCACAGTGGATCAAATGGAGACCAAAGAGCAGTTGGAAGTATATTCAGGCTTCAGTTGATTCTATCATTGAGCAGCTGGGGTCAGATCCTGAGCTTTAGAAGCTAAGCCCTCAAGTTTTCATACTTCATCTTACATTTCATAAATAACTTATGCTCTTCTGTTTCATAACAGGTGTCAACATTTTTTCTTTATCTTGGTTAGCTCCAGACTTATTGTTTTCTCTACTTTTCCCAGCTGGATCCAAGGTTTTCTTCCTTCATCTCCCTAGTAGGCAGAGACAGGAATCATCTGGTAGAACTGAGAGTTAAATCCAGGCTCCCAGCCTTGAGGCTTGTAGCTTCACCACCAGTGTCATGTCACTTCTCAAGTACCCTCCTCCCCCTCTTGAGTTACAGCACTTCCTCCCTTCCCATGCCACCATTTCTACCCACAATCCCCACTTCCTAATTTAGCCTGGAATCTGTTGTTGTTTGTAAGTGCCACTGAGTTGGTTCCAACCCATTCCAACTCTGTATAGGGTTTCCAAAGAACGGCTGATGAGCCAACCTTGTGGTTGAAACTGGCTTTGCAGTCCAACGCATTAACTCACAGCACCACACCAGGACTTTGACCTGGAGTCTACACCGTAGGAAAAAACTCTGCTTTGAGTCTGTAAAGGAGCCCTGGTGGCACTTTGGGTTTAACATTGAAGTTCTAACTACAAGGTTTATGGTTCAAACCCATCAGTCCCTTCATGGGAGAAAGGTGAGGCTGTCTGCTCCTGTAAAGATTTCTATCCTTAAGAACCTTACAGAGCAGTTCTGCTCTGTCCTGCTGGGTCTGTAAGGGTCACACTCAGCTCGATGGCAGAAGAACTTTGGTTTTGGATTTGGTCTGTAACTCCTTGAGTGTCCAACACATGATCCTACCTTAATGCTCAGTCAAACTGAGAGCTCCATTGCTCTGCCTTTTGCAGATGACTCAACCTCCTCTTTGGGTGTGGGTCATTCCACACCCAGGTTAGCGGCTGGGAGGATTTGACACTTGAGATGTTTCCAATGTCTACTTGTTCTTGAATCCCAATGTTGACCACTGGTTGTTCAGATTACAACACTCTGTCCAGACCTCTTGTCTAATTGGATCCTCGTGCCAATTGTTGACTATGCTATAATTGAAGTTGGCACAGCCTTCCTTAGCTCCAATGCCCACAAGGATCTCCGGAGCCTGGACAGCAGCCCTATCCTTGTTCCATCATGGACCCTAAGTCCCATTCACTCTCATTTTTGAGGGAAATATAGGCTGTCTCAGTTGGCCTGGCTCATGGTAACATAAAACAACTTAAAGAACATATTGCACTCAGTATCTCTTTATTACCAGAAGGACTGAAGAGGTTTTTTAGATCTGTGCAACTGATGCTGAGTTGAATTCCATTAACTTCACAGAGAAGAAAATAGAGTAAGAGACACTACCAACTATTTTTCTCAAACTGCAACACACTCCCCCTAGCGAGATCATCTTCAAAGTCTCTCATTTCTAAAATTCAAATGTCAAGGAGCAAGTAATTATTCAAACATTATATTTTATAATGCTTTTTAATACCTTGTTTAAAGCAGCTTTATATATACTATTTGCATGTTCCCAAATCATTCTGGGAGCAGAGTAGGTCTATAGGATAAGCACTGGACTTCAAACCACAAGGTCAGTGGTTCAAGTCCACCAGCTGCTCCTTGGGAGAAGGATGAGTTTTCAGCTCTTTAAAAGATTTTCAGCCTCAGAAGCCTTATATAGGGTAGTTGTGAGTTGTAAGCAACTCAATTGTACTTATCAACAACAACGTCATCACTTGGTGGGAGTTAAAAAGAGTTTGGATAGAAAGCCATATTAAGTAAATTCATGGTACCATAGCTACCAAAACTTAGCAAGGCTAAAACTATAGTAGTGCAGATGATGGGATTGGTACAACTTTTAAACTATGGTATTTCGACTGAAGTATGATTTTCTTCAAGCAGATCAACTCCTACAGCTCACATCCATGATAAGTAGGCAGTGACTGCATTTATGACATGAACTTGATCAACAAAAGAAAATGATTTCTGGAAAATCATATTTTTTAAATATTTGCTCTAGAGGAAAATGAAAATTCCTTAAAATCCTTATCTTTTTTCTTTCTTTCCTTTCTGGTTTTGTATGAATGATTTTTAAATTGTGATGAAATATATGAATAAACATTAGCAGTTTGTACATTCTGAAAGGAAATTTCTTTTTGAAGTCTGACACTACTTTATTTTTATAGAGAATATGAACAGGGCTCTTTCCTACCCCAACCTTTAGAGAGAAAAAGAACAATTTTGTTGTCATGCTGAAACACTGGTTTGATGTTAACCTGTCAGCATACCATCGAGATAAAATATTTTTCTGTGTTGTACTTCTCTGGTATCCTAGGGCACCAATGTATACGTATTTGTCAATCTGCTGATGTGGTCTATTGAGGCCCTTAAGTCTGGCTTTCTTTACGTCTTGTTTTCCTTTCCCCAGAACTTCCTTTCAGTGTTGTGGAAGCAAGTTGCAATTTTGAGGAAAATTTCTGCAACTTTTACCAAGATAAAGAAGGCCTGGGCTGGAGCCGAGTGAAAGTGAAACCAAATATGTATCGAGCTGGAGACCACACTACAGGAGTAGGTAAGTCAAAAGTATCCTGTGGTAGCATTGTCGGGCTTGTTGTTCATGCTTTGTTCACTATTTTTACCTATCAAGACTCTGAGGACCTTTGGTAGTGTAATTACAAGTTCAAAACTACCAGCCATTCCACGGGAGAAAGATGAGGCTTTCTGCTCCCGTAAAGATTTACAGCCTTGGAACCCCTATAAAAGGTTGCTATCAGTAGGAACTGACTCCACACACACCACCACCAACACCACATCAAGATTCTGACTTTAAAAGGGAAAAAAAGCAGTTATAAAGAAGCAAAGGCAATTAATAATTTTGTGTTTGACCATTTTTTAAAGTTAGAATTCAAGTTATTGTGTTAGCTTAAAAATACTTACCAGTTAATAGCTAGTGCTTTGAAAATTACTTTGCTCTTCGTTTTAGGAGAAGTATCTTTTAAAAGCTATTTGCAATTTTCCATTTAATACAGATTTTCTGAAACCACTGAGGTTGGGTAATATCCATACTCCCATGAGAAAGGCCAGTTAATACCACTGTCATTCAAATTTATGCACCAATTGCTAAATCCAGTGATGATGAAATTGAAGAATTCTACCAACTACTTCATTTTGAGTTGTGCCCCATCAGCAAAAGAAGGTCCTGCTGGCTTTTCTCCTACAGATTTTACTCCATTCCCGTAATCACGGTCAACTCTACTTTGAGGAGGCAGCTCTTCCCGAGTCGCATTTTGAGTGTCTTCCAACTTGTGGGGCTCTTTTTCCGGCACTCTCTCTGACAGTGTTTCTCTACTAATTCATAAGGTTTTCAGTGACTAAATATTCAGAAGTAGTTTGTCACTCCTTCTTCCTAGTCTGTCTTCATCTGGAAGCTCATGTGAAACCTGTCCACCATGGGTGACCCTGTGGTATTTAAAATACTGGTGGCACAGCTTCCAGAATCACAGCAACTCACAAGCCACCACA